CTATCTGCCTGAGTCTCCCCTGGTCTCAGGTTCCTTCTTAACAACTCAGAGAATATAATGAGCTTTGCTAATTTTCTTCCCTTCTGTGCTAAGACCTGAAAATTATTGTCAATGTACTATTTCTTTTTTTTTCCGTCTTTCTTTGTTACTCATTGTCTTCTTTTTAAAAATTCCATTGGTGCATTATGATTATACATAATAGTGGGTGTTACCCTTCCTTGAAAACTGTCCATTTCATATATTTGGCCCACTTTTGTGGTTGTTTCAGTTGGATAATGGCATCTGATCCTTTTGGTTGGCAATATAATTTCTTTGATAGCATTTTCAGATAGAAATTTCTTGAATATCTGGTGGAATATGCTTGTAAAATTGAGCCTGTGACATCTTGTTAATTTTTAGTGGGTAGATTTAAAATTGTTGGTAACTAATATAATTTCTTTCAAGGTTAGAAAAAAATACTCAAGTGCTTCCACTTAATTTTAGTCTACTTATGATGCTTATTTTAAAAATAAGTGGTTGGGCTGGAGCTCAGTGATGGAGCATTTGCCTAGCCTGTGAGAGGCACAGGGTTTGATCCTCAGCACCACATAAAAAAAATAAATAAAATAAAGGCATGCCATCTAAAACTATATTAAAAAATAAGTTGTCCACAGGGGAAAGGAGGGAGGAGGGAAAGGAGAAGCACTGGAGACTGAATTAGAACAAATTATGTTCCATGCTTTTACAGTTATGTCAAAATGAATCCTAATATTCTGTATAACCAAAAGAACCAATAAAAATTGTAAAGCAAAAAAATAAATATAAGTCATCTGTTTTTATACTTTAAAAATAAATTTGCATAGAATAGTCAATCTATTACTGTGTTTTCAGTGCATGTATTTCCCTAAAATTCACATGATATTAGAATAGCCCTCATAATATTGAGGTAGGACTTTTGGGAAGTGAGTAAGTCATGTGGGTGGAGTCCTTAAGGGTGGGATTAGAACCCTTGTATAAAGGAGGCCTGTGGGAGCTCCGTTGCCTTTGTGGCTTGTGATGACTCACAGAAGGTGCCCCCTTTAGTTAGCTTTTGCAATGTTTTCACGAAAACATTCCACAAGAACAATTTAGAGAAGGGAAAAATTACCTGGGGCTCATGATTTCAGAGGTTGCAGTCCATAGAGAGCCTAAACGATGGCTGTGGAGCTGAGGTGAAGCAGCAGGTCATGGGGAAGGGCCTTTGATAGAAAGATGCTCAGTGCACAGCAGGGTCAGAAAGGAGAGGGGGAGGGGGAGGG